GTGATAAATCTAATATTGACTTCGTACTTGGTCAGTATAGGAAATAAAAGACCTCGTAAAAGACCTCGGCTTTTATTTCCGATATTGACCTCGTACTCAGTCAATATTAGATACGCATTATAACGAGGCGCATATATAACGATTTCCCAAAACTGACTAGTTTACGTGTACCAAAGGTAACGATTCTCACTCAATGCTCAATAGGACAGTATATGTATCGATTTCTGTGTAACAATTTCTATTTTAACGACAGATTTCTCCTCGTTAACTCGTTAGAGTTAGCACTTCGTTATATATAATGGCTTTACAGTATATCTGCAGTCGTGATAAGCGAACTGAGCTGACTGTACTCTCTTTAGTCTGCACTGTGTCGTGGGTGAGTCTGGTAGCCATCTTTTGCCAAGTTAGAATCCACATTTTCTACTTTGCACCCTACGGAGTCAGTGATGCAGCTGTGTGTGTGGCAAGATTTGAAACCGAGACTTCTCACACGAATCATGTGATATGTGATATGTGATATATATGTGTGTGTGTGTGTGTGTGTGTGTGTGTGTGTGTGTGTGTGTGTGTGTGTGTGTGTGTGTGTGTGTGTGTGTGTGTGTGTGTGTGTGTGTTCTTGATGTCTAGAATGAAGTACGCGATATGAGCGCTGTTGCGGCGATTGCTGTCGGTGCTCGGGACATTGATGATGCTGCGGATACTCCGGTCACCATTACGTTTACTATATCTAGGGTGAGAATATAATTGTGCTGTGTCAATGTGTGTGTGTGTGTGTGTGTGTGTGTGTGTGCGGCCATTGGTTCTTGAGCCGTGGTGGCCTTGCCCGGCACAAGTGTGTGGCTCAGTCCCTAGCCGCAGTGGAGCCGTGTTGTGGCGCGCACTGTGCGTCCTGCAGCCGCTGCTTCCGTTCGGTCCAGGGCAGGAATAGACACCGCTGCTCAGGTTCTCCCCCTACCATACGTCAGTCTTGTGGTAGAAGTCGTAGGTGACCTGAATCCTGGCGACCTCTCGCCGTGGTGCGGCGTTCTCCTCTTCTCTCTCCGTTGCCTCTCCGGGGCCCACGTGACCCTTGTGGCAGTGGCTCGACAGGACAGGTGTGTGTGTGTGTGTATGTGCCAGCTAGTTCGGTTGGTGGGTACACGTATGCCTGATAGTGTTGGGTCTGTTGCCAACGGGCTCGGCTGCTTGAAGGTGTAATGTTGTACCTGCCACCTTTGTTGGTTCCAGGGTTCATATACTTTCTATTTGAAGTATACATACCTGTTAACCATGAACTGCTTCTGGCTAGATTAACTCTTGTGTAATCAATGGTGCTAGTGAAGCTTATATTAGATCCACTCTGATTTAGCCACCCACACTAGTAGCAAGTATTACCTTCACTGGGGGCAGGGGTTCTGCAGTTGGATCCCAGGACGGATACCCTGATGCCGTCAATCCTTTTTCTGCACCTTGTCCTCACCCACTTACTGAGGTGTGGTGAGCCCATAAGTGGGATCATTTTCAAGTCCACCCAGAGTTTTGGGGATTTCAGGGGGTGTCGGCCGTTGGGCGGTTCAATAGCCAATTGAGTCATCTTTCCAAGATTCCTTTTGAGTCTCTCTCCCCTCTCCCGGGGAGACCCACGTGACCAGTTTTGGCAGTGAGCAACAAGTACAATGTGTGTGTGTGTGTATCCAAGGGCGGCTGCATTTACATTTGCTTGCATGCATGTGTGTGTATATATTTTACTTTCTGCATTATGCTGCTGCACAGGATATCCGCAATGCTACCTGCGCATTTTGGGACATTGGCGCTAATGGTGAGTGACTTCCACTAACGGTTGCTTTGATTTACTAGGAATTACAGTGAGACCTGTCAAGGCGACCACTCCGATAAGCCGACCACCTGTCCCAGAGCACCACCTGTCCCAGAGGACCACCTGTCCCAGAGGATCACCTGTCCCAGAGGACCACCTGTCCCAGAGGACCACCTGGCCCAGAGGACCACCTGGCCCAGAGGACCACCTGGCCCAGAGGACCACCTGGCCCAGAGGACCACCTGTCCCAGAGGACCACCTGGCCCAGAGGACCACCTGGCCCAGAGGACCACCTGGCCCAGAGGACCACCTGTCCCAGAGGACCACCTGGCCCAGAGGACCACCTGTCCCAGAGGACCACCTGTCCCAGAGGACCACCTGTCCCAGAGGACCACCTGTCCCAGAGGACCACCTGTCCCAGAGGACCACCTGACCCAGAGGACCACCTGTCCCAGAGGACCATTTCAACTTACTATGACTATACTGTAGAGGGTGCCATCGCCAGTCATAATATTATGACCCTGGATAGGTGACCGCCAGAACATGACTACTACCTGTACATGGAGGACCACGCTGGTTGAAGGTCCCTTGGGCAATCGCTGTAGACCAGTTCTATTGTGCACAGATTAGCTCATAGATAGTACATGTATGTAGAAGTTGAGCTGCTTCCTCTGAAATGTGCTCTTATGCAAACCCGTTAATTAAACTCTACTCTTTTCACGGGGTTTTACGGCAGTCAAGTGGGGAGATGCAATGACTGGCCCCGGGGACACTTAAAGCAGGAGTGGATACGTCCTGCCAGCTTGCCCTCTGTCATTGGAACATGTGTGTGTGTGCATACTCGCAACGTGTGTCAGCAGGCATACGAATATTTGTCCTGGCTACTACTCATGTACCCTGGGATGTGTTAAGGATGCATTCTTGGTGTTGTTTCTACGGATATGGTGTGATGCACTTTGAATACACTGCCTCAAGCTCCTAATACAAAATATCAGATTGCTCCTCGCATGATACTAATTTGGAGAGAGGACATGACCTTACATCTTGAGTCCCGCTACGCTCTGCCAAATATGGCATGTACCTTTAGCTTTCTCTCTCTCTCTCTCTCTCTCTCTCTCTCTCTCTCTCTCTCGCTCTCTCTCTCTATCTATCTATCTCGCTCTCTCGCTCTCTATCTCTCTCTCTCTCTCTCTCTCTCTCTCTCTCTCTCTCTCTCTCTCTCTCTCGCTTGCGCTCTCTCTCACTCTCTGGCTCTCTATCTCTCTCTATCTCTCTCTCTCTCGCTCTCTCTCGCTCTCTCTCTCTCTCTCTCTCTCTCTCTCTCTCTCTCTCTCTCTCTCTCTCTATCTATCTATCTATCTATCTATCTTTCTATCTATTTATCTATCTCTCTCTCTCTCTCACACACACACACACACACACACACACACACACACGTTCTGCTTGCAGATGGTCTGGGTGGCTGGAGTAGCCGTGGCTGTTATCTGATGTCAATAAGCAACAGCAGTAATACTAGCGCTGGAGGTGGTGTCAATGTTAGCTGCCAATGTGAACATCTCACACACTTTGCCATTCTCTTTGTAAGTACACTCAAACCTCGCATAACCGCACACATCCGTTGTCCACGAAAATATCCGGTTAGGCAAGGGAACCGGATAATCGAACACACATACTGTATGTATGCATGGCATATGCTGTAAATCGGTAACCAACGATTTTCTTCCGGATGGCGAGGGATCCGGATAAAAGAGGACCGGGTAAGCACAGTCATATGGTAAAAAAAGGAGAAGGACAAAATTTTACGAGTTATGACTAACTGTCCACCAACGTAACCAGATCACATACGGTCCCCGAGAGCGACAAAATGGCACAAAACTGACAAGGAGTACTGAGACATTCCACGACCTGACACCTAGCTCCAACACTTCTCCAAGGCGCAAACCAACAACCTTCCAACTTGGAAGGCTCGGGTTCGGAAAGGTCCAAGAGGGGAAAATCTGTTTTCACCCTTATTAAATTGGCTCATCATCCGAGTCATATGTGTGTATGGAAAAATAACATTTGATGCAGATGACAATCAAGCGTCACTGACCACCTGCTCAATGCATTGCTGGTCCCACATAAACGTCGATCCAGGGCAACCATTTGCCGTGTGCGTGTTGAGCGACCATGATGTATTGTACGGAGGCTGCCTGTCAACCTGGTGTATACTGTATCCTGTACACTGTATACTAGAGAGGCATGCAGCGCTGCCGTTGGAGTCGGTTCAGCTGGAGGGGGGGGGGGGGGTCGGGGTGTCCCCTCGTGAAAATTTTGAAATTAGAGTACGAAATCCTGCATTCGGGGCACTTTTGGCAAAAGTTGAACCGGCTGCTACTCCCCTGCTTCTGCGAGCAAGTCTCTGTGACATCTAGAACTGAAACTATGTTCATGTGTGTACCTGTGTGTGTGTGTGTGTGTCCCATATGGTGCAGTGGTATGTGCAGCGATTTCCAATCGATAGATTGCGGGTTCGATTCCCGACGATTATGGTCACACACGTCTTTCTTCTCTTTCTCAGACTCTTCCTGACTTTTCTTTCATTCTCCTGGGTGGTTACCAACAGCCAGTGCATGCCGGAGTATGTGGTGTGATGTGTGTGCGGGGAAAAAAAAAAATGAAAAAGACCAAAAATAGGGATTCACTGGCCAGAAAATGTCACTCCAAATAGCTGTATGGTGTAGACCAGGCTGAATAGTGACGGTCACGGTGGGTGGGTGTGGGGGGGGGGGGGGGTTCCATACCTGTTAATTAACCATGGACCTTCTGGCTAAATTAACTCTTGTGTAATCAATGGTGCTAGTGAAGCTTATATCAGATCCACTCTGATTTAGTCGCCCGCACTAGTACCAAGTATTGCCTTCACTGGGGGCAGGGGTAGCTGCAGTTAGATTCCGGGACGGATACCCTGATGCCGTCAATCCTTTTTCTGCACCACTTACTGAAGTATGGTGAGCCCACAAGTGGGATTATTTCCAGGCCCCCCTGGTTAGGGGATTTCAGGGGGTGTCGGCTGTTGGGCAGTTCAATGGCCAATTGGGTCACCTTTCCAAGATTCCTTTTGAGTCTCTCTCCCCTCTCCCGAGGAGACCCACGTGACCAGTTATGGCAGTGAGCAACAAGTACAAGTACCGTAAAAGTCCGTAAATAAGTACGTATTTACTTTCGAATTTAGTGACCACACCCGTACTAACTTTCGGGCGGGTACTGACTTTCGGGCACGAACTAACTTTCGGACCTGACTTGTGTGTAGTGGAGAAGTCATTTTCATGTCAATGTACGGGAGTACATGCTACGTGCTGCATGTGCGCACCGTACCGGTACTTATTTCGGGCAGTATGTTTATCGGGCTTGACTTGACTTCAACAGACAGAACCAAAAGAGTGAAGGGGGTATTTCTTTCGGGCAGGTACTTATTTACGGACTTTTACGGTATCCTATGTTGCGTGTCTATGTGTCTATGTGTATATGTGTCTATGTGTCTATGTGTCTATGTGTATATGTATCAGGGGCGTACGAAGCAGATTTCCAATGGTCCGGCGGATTTCTAGCTCGTACAGGTTGCGATTTTTTTTAATTTTCAACTCCGCCCAGTATGACTACTACTACAGTATTCACTTCGTCTTGGGGGGGGGGGGGGGGGGGGGGGTTAGGCGTGGGGAAGTTGCCATACAGGGGTGGCGAGCCCGCTTTTCAACACCGGGAAAACAGGTACAGCTCGCTCGACTCTGTCTCTACTGAGTGAAGAGGGCGATTTTACTTGTAAAAGGATTGATATGAACAAATGCTGTGGTATCATGGGAGACTTGAGGTTATACTACAAGTATACTCCTGAAGTGCATGCAGAAGCAAGTATTTGAATTGACATTTTTTTTATGGATTCCCCAAAGGCCGAGGCCTAAGTCGAGGGGGTCTCCGTTCATGGCTTACTGGGAATATATCTGCAAAATTATAACATTATACATTGACAGTAAAACTGTCCGAATTGAGAGAGCTGACGCTCACTTCCACGTTCAAATTCCCGTGCGGCACTCTTCAGGCACTAGCCGCCCAGCAGTTTCTTGTGGGCATTCAGGAACATCAGGTGATTGAGCCTTTCCTCGCGGGTTGTACTGCATAAGTACGACTTGACCCTCCGCATGGTTGAAAACAAGCGTGCTGCCTTTTTTTCTTTTTCTTTTTTGGCGAAACATTGGTCCGGCGGCCGCCGGACCTGCCGGACCTGTTCCTACGCCCCTGTGTATGTACGGGTGTGTACATGTGTGTGTGGGTATGTACCTGTAATATTGGGTTGTGTTATCTACTTGTTCAGTCCAGCACAGCTGCCACTTCCAACACCCAACCTCTGGAGATCATCACATACATAGGTGCTGGCATAAACGCTGTCATCCTCATTTTCCTTATCGTCACCATTGTAGCATTCAGGTACGTGCAACTTTTGTGTGTGTGTGTGTGTGTGTGTGTGTATGTGTTTGTGTGTGTGTTTGTGTGTGTGTGTGTGTGTGTGTGTGTGTGTGTGTGTGTGTGTGTGTGTGTGTGTGTGTGTGTGTGTGTGTGCGTGCATGGGTGTGTGTGTGTGTGTGTGTGTGTGTGTGTGTGTGTGTGTGTGTGTGTGTGTGTGTGTGCGTGCATGTGTGCGTGCATGTGTGATGAGTTTGACCTCTTTGTTTCCAAAGTTCACAAAGGCAGAGAACAAGTCTCGCCAACATGAATGGAACCAACCGGTCATTCTATATGGGCAAAATGTCCACCGTATGCCGACACGTCACATCTGGAGTACAAAGAGGCTGCACTGCAAACAATTCACAGGTTTTACGATGACACCTGCGCCGCAGCCGATGCTGCCACTTCCACCATCATCACCATGGTAATGGTGGTTGTTATTGCGATGGTGTGGATAAGGAGACTGAACCCAAGTTACCAGTACATTAAAGCCGCAAAAGGAAATTTGGTGTAATGTAAATCTTATCTTTAACCCTTTCACCACTGTCGACGTATATATACGTCATGACGTGTGCACCTGCCCCACTGACGACGTATATATACGTCCTCAGTGTACGTCGCGTTTGTACTGATGCCTCAACATCAGTGGGGCCTGGAACTGTTCCTCAGTGGGCTGAAGGACCTGACCGACGTGTACGCAGCGTATGTGGCCAGTCTGCACAGCAGAACAGCCGCGAGCATTGAGTTTGAAGTGCGCATTTTGGCATATCGTTCAAATAAATTGTTTTGCTGAAAGTTCGTTTTCGTTATCTTGCCCTGCTGTTTCTCGGCAAGGTAAGTAGCTCAACTACTCTGTGTCGATGGAAGGAGTCCTGTGAAGCAGTGTGAGGCGGGTAATGACTCTGAGGATGATTCTGGAGACAGCGAAATTGTGTCGGAGTCGTTTTCTGAGGATTACGAATTTGCTGCTATTCAAAAGATCGCAGCTGACTCGGACGCAGGGGATGCTGGAGACCAAAGAGATTTGGAAAGCGATGCTGAAGTCTCTGACACCTAGGCATGGTGTTCTGAGTAGGAGCTGTCTGTCGTGAGCCCGTTTGCTGAAGTTCCTCAAGTAAACTGCGATCAAATTTGAAGGTCAGATTTTTGAAAATATTTGAATTTGAAGTCAAGTGTACTGGTCAGACATGCATGCAGATCACAATAGAGATGTGCATACATGTAAGTATTGTATGTTGAGTACAGAGCCAGGCACCTACAGGATGGAGATTGTTATCTAATATGAATCCAGAATAATCCAGAATAGTCAACAATTGTGCAATTTTGAACCACTATCAGAAATTGCGCAGCCGATTGTTTCTTGAATTTTCATGCGTATGTACACCGGTACGCAGTATGCACTCGGCTGTTTAGGAAATGCTTCAAACTATTTTCATAGCTGGATTGTCTTGCCAATGAGTGTCTAAATCAGAGAATGAGCAGTATTGCATTCTCCATCAATATGACTTTACCTGCGCCGTGTACGTACGTACATACGCGTGCGGCCAGAGATGAATCACCCTGGGATGCGCCGAGCACAGTGAGTCAACCGCTGCCACTGCACCGGCTGCTATTATAGCTGATGCAGTTGCTGTGGTTGCTACTCCAGTCACTCGGCATCCTCACTGTCCATCATATGGTTTTGTCTTGAAGTAGGTAGGGCTGCTGGAGGATTCAAACTTTACGAGGCGCCCAAGAAAAAAAAGACCCATTCTGGATCGCGCAGTCGCATATGATGCAAGCGCCGTATAAAACGAGTCGCTGTACTCTAGTCTAGGTTGCCGTGGAACACCAGGATCATATCAAGCATGTTATATGACATTTCTCCATTCTGAAGTCAACACTGACCAGTTATAGCACTGCTTGCCATTGCTTGTCTGATCTTTGTCGTCAATTGCCTAAATTGAATGAATTTTGAGGAAAAATCGCCAAAAGTCGCATATCTAAATATGGTGTTATGAGTCTCGTACAATGAAATCCTGCAAAATTTCTTCGGATTCACAGTGCATATGTCCATACCCAACATCTCCAATCAATTTTGGACCAGAATATGCATTCTCAAAAATTGCCATTTTTGGCCCAGTGGGAGGTGATTTTCCAGTCAGGGCTGAAAGGGTTAATAATGAACTCGGATGGAGAGCCAAGGATTATTTATAGAAAGTAAAAAGGACCGATGAACTACAGTACCGTTGGTCAGTGTCGTGCAATGTTATCGCATGAGCTGATTGTTTAGTAACTGGTGGTGTTCGTGGACATTATAGCGTAACTTGTAGTTCCCCGGTCCTTTTTACTTCTTTTTTTTAAATAATTATTTGAATCGCAGTGAAGAGAACGTTTTTTGGATTTGGAGTTGAGAAGTGAAGTTTCATAAGTTCGTAAGGCCGCATCGAAAAAAAGTTTTGCGTTTTGGGTAACATGGCCAGAAAAATACTGGACGATCGGCTTTCCTTTTTTTGCTGATACATGTATATGTTATGCATGCCAGATCTGCTATGCACATCTATCTGCTTAGAATCAACTCGTAAAAACTCCAAGTCAATAGAGAGGTTTTGCATTCCGAATTTCGGAATGATTTTCGACTGTGCTTTTCCGAAAAAGCGCGTTCCGAAAAACGGTATTTTCAGTGTTTTGCATTCCGAAAATCTGATTCGACTTCGTTTCCAAGGGCTGCCATGCAAAACAAAATGGAGAGCGTCGAAGGGGTTGAGCAGGATCAAATCCATGCGCGCAGGTCAAACTGAATTTGGGTGCGGTTCGAAGACGAGGACGGACTGATATGATGGTGGACCAAGTGATCCAACAGCTGAAGACGAGGTTGGCGAACTACTGTCTTGTACTGTTAGTAGGCTCCAGGGCAAAGGAAGATAGTGTGATGAAGTGTGAGAAGATTAGTCAACATGGCGAGATCAGCAAAACCAGCAAAAATCAAAACTACATACGTGGAAATTTTTTCAAATAATCGAGAGCAGCAGAAAGCAAAAATACAAACATGAAAAATACACTTTTTTGTATTCAAATATGCACTCCCAAACATGAAAGAGCCGAAAATCCATTTTCGGAAAACCATGCACTTTCGCCACCACACTTCCGAAAGTTCGACTACTTTTTCGACTGCTGCCGCCACATTCCGAAAATAATTCCGAAATTCGGAATGCAAAACCTCTCTAATCTCCCATTGACACAATCCTCGTTTATTCAACATAATCATATCCTATCCAATAAAAACAGTTCATAAAAACGGCTTTTTAGGATCGGACCCAGTCCGCATAACCAAGAGAGCTAGCTCCCTTGGCTGCTGTTGGAATATGCAAGAATGGGCCTTCCAGATAAGGTCTTATTATTATTATTATTATACGCATTCCCGCGGCAGCGTCAACCAAGCAGTTATGCTTGATCCACACGTTCGCTTATGCTGGACATTGAAACAAAGCAGATGTAGACAGCTCCTAGAGAATGGGGCTCTACAAAACCAATGATCGAAGTTAGTCCTTCAGTAACATGGAGCGTCATAAAATTGGTCTCATTGGAAAAATGTCATCACTATTGTCTCCTCATGTAGCATCATGGTCAATGGGTGGCCAGATAATTATACGTATGAGGTTGAGTTGCCAGATAATTATTAAAAGATTCAAATAGTAATATTATTATAGGATGGTTGTTATGAGTTTATAAGGGTGCCATGGCTGTTTCTACTCGTGACGAGGGTGTGCACAAACACTCTTCACCAGCGCGTTCCATGCTGGACGGTCCACAGCAATCCGCTCCAGACGGCGCAAGTCCTCAACACTCCGCAGGTGCCCATTGTTCGACTGGGACAGATCGGTGTGGAGCTTTATTGGTAGTGTCACTCTCGGCCTCCCGCGGTACCTCCCCTCGGGTGCCTGAAAGTATTGCTCCATGCTCAATCGTGCTGGCGTGTCCTTACCCAGGCGAAGCACATGCCCGAATAGACTCCAGCGTGAATTTCGGATCAAGTCCGACACCGGCTCCACTCCACATCGGGCATACAACGCCAAATTACTAATCTTTTGTGGCCATGTGATGCCGAGAAGTGACCTGAGTTGCCTTCTATGGAAAGCGTCCAGGGAGCGTTCGCTAGCAACCGTCAGGCCCCAGGTGCCTGAATTATAGAGAAGTATCGGCATGATAAAGGCGCAGTACAACCTCATACGCAGAGGCTCTCGGATCAGTCCTCGGCGCTTCCAAAGAGACCACATGGATCGGAAGGCAGCCTCGGCCAATTGCCTGCGACGTGTCACATCCTCAATGTCGCCCAGGAGTGAGCCCAGCTTTCGGGATGTCCTCCAGCGCTCGTCAATTCTGTCTACAGATCGACCCAGCTCTGTCCACTCAGTTTTGGTGTTGTTGACTCTCAGGGCCCACTGCCCGAGAGTGTGGTCTATGACCGGTTCGAGCTCTGTGAGCCATTGACGACTAAGGCTTATGAAATCAGTGTCATCTGCGTAGACAAGCTCAAATGGAATGTTGATGCTTTGATCCATTGGCGGTCTGTTTCGTGCCACCTGGGTGCTCCTCAGATCTCTCAGTGCTGCCTCTAAGTATATAACAAACAACACCGGGGAGAGAGAATCACCCTGCGGGGTGCCAATTGTAGTTTCAAGGGACTCTGATACTGCCCTGCCGATGCGTACCTGCAGAGTTGTGTTGGTCAACAGCACTCTAACCAGCCGAACATCATCCTCCGTCAGGAAAGACTCGAGAACTGTCAACAGTTTGTCACGATGTATACAGTCGAATGCTTTGGACATGTCGATTCCAAGAATGGTCATTTCCCGCCGATAATGCTGACATGTTGCTGCAAACCATCTGTGGCTCCAAACAAGGTCCGCTGTAGATCGGCCTGCTCTGAAACCACTCTGCGTCGGAGACAAGTACTCACCGACTTTCGACGATATTCTTCGCAATGTAATAATGGAGAGCGTTTTGCGTAATGATGTAAGGAGGACAATAGGGCGCAGATTTCCAGGTGGTCCAACCGTCTTTCCTGGTTTCTGCAACGGTACCAGTGTGCCACATCCCAGGTCAAGGTGCTGGTGAGTTGTAAACATGCTGTTGAACAGACAGGCAATGTGAGGTGCTAGGTTTTCTCTTCCATATTTCAAGAGTTCGCCTGGGACTCCATCTGGGCCAGGGGACCTTCCATTATTCAGTTTTTTCAGTGCGTTGGAGACCTCAGCAGATGAGATTTGTCTTTGGAGGCTTCTTGGGCGACCGGTGAATGGCTCGACGCCTGCATCCACATTCCCACGAAACTGGTCATGGAAGTGGCTCCGGACCGCAGATGCCGCCTCCTGGTCATCGGCTATGAAGTGACCCTTCTGGTCATGTACAATGGGCTTTCGGCTTGGCTTTCTGGTCATCAGCTGGACTGCTTTGAACATCCGTGCTCCATTCTTCAACCTCTCGACTTCCGCTGCACTCTCTTGCATAATTTTCTCTGCATTGTCTCGGCATTTTGTTCTTATAGCGTGAAGGATTCTGTTTCGTTTCGTCTTGAGAGATGCTTTGGTGTCAGGGTTGTTAGTGCTAGGTCTAACATGGAGAAGTGGCTATAGTTATGAAATGAGCACCGGTAACCATGGAGACAGACCACACTCTCATCATAGATACTGGTTATAAATACCGGTAGACCGAATAAGGAAAATGATCTGATAGCCTATGAAGAGTAAAAGAAATTGAACAAATGACAACAAATACTCGTCCAGCACACGAGTTGTCATAGCAACACAAATAACAGCTGTCCACTAATTTTGTTGTTGGAGATTGAGTAGGAGTTTTTACTGGTTGGTTCTAAATACAATAAATGCTCCGGCCTTGGGTTTATGACCAATAAAAACTAATTATAAAAACCTCGGGGGACCTCGGTTTTTATACCGTACTGGCATTATATGGTCGCAGTGAGGCCATGAAGCGTTACATTGGCACATGTTTACCGCACGCAGGGCGTTACATGCAAAGTCGCACAGGAGCCGTTACACAGGTTTCTATATTGCCGCAGTCCTTTTTTTGCTATTGCAGGACTTCCTGCTGCGTCCAGTTTTGAACTTTTCACCACGCGGTACACGTGCTTTCACAGTTTTCAGCCTTTTTTGCAATGAAAAGATCGCCGCACCCCGCCGGAAGCGCGTTATGAACGCAACGAAAATTTGTCGCACTAGCCTGGTCGCGCGTTACGCGGCAACATATATTGCCAGTACGGTAATAGTTTTTATTGGTCATAAACCCTCGGCCTCCTCATTTATTGTATACATAGTACACAGCTCAGATACAAAATGTGTGGTCGATATTATTATTATTATTATTATTATTATTATAAAAGCAGGAATACCATGTTGTGTACATAGCCTTCTCACTCAACAAGACAACGGCTCAATCAGACCGCCAGGGCCAGTCAAACTAGTCCTGCTCAGACACAGAACAGAGCAGAGCTCCGAGACGTTGCGCATCAACACATCGTTGGGCGATCGTCGCGGGCCAGGAACTACAGCTTCCTGTTGCTCCAACGGGAAGAAAACGAATGGGCGTCCGAACTCCAAATGAGGTCCAACATTGTCACTCTTGTCAGCACCGTTGCAGCTTGACCCGGGTTTCCGAAGCAAACATTGCTTTGAAGCAAGTGACGCCTTCTGGACGAAGAGTTTCTAACAATCCTCCGTGACTCGTGCAGCTGTTGACGACGGTCCGGCCGCCGTCAACTATGTGACGGAAATTGCAGGCAGAATCGTGGCTGCTAAAGTTTCTGAACTAAAACATATCAGTGTCAAAAACGTTACACTTGGCAACTACAACCACCCTGCAACGAATCCGACTCGATCGAGTTAACTCGAAACAAAGGACCGATTTGTCTAGTCAGAGCCAGGAAGGAAGAGCCTTGGGCCTGGCACATTGCAAACTGCGAGCAGGTACATAGTACATATGTATGATGCACATACCTGTATGCATGAATGCATACACAACAAAAAGAAATCGGTCGACGCTGAAAACATCGGTCAGTCGGGTTACCCGAAACAAAGGACTTTTTCGGTGCGGCCTAAGGAACAAAGTCTGAGGGAAATGTTGAACGGTCTCTTGTGGAATGACAGCTACACCACAGCTCAGTGGTTAGAGCATCGCTGGCTACAAGCAAAGGTCCCTGGTTGAAGTCCTGGTGGTGACAGTCAGACTTTTCCCATCTGCATCTTTCCTTCAAACATCAGAAACACTCTGCATATACGCAGTAAATATTTGGTGTTGTGATGTTGTCTTGTTGCTTTCTCACATACGCTGTGTCGTTGTTTGCTTGTGGTGTGCAGGAAGTTACGACGGGAGATTCGCCTGCGCCTTCTCATTCAGCTGTTCCTCTGCTACGTCATCATGGCAACCATACTCATGCTCTTGCCACTGGCAAACGACACGCGTGATTCGTGCATCGCCGCGTCGGTATTGCTTCACTTCTTTGTCATGGCCGCACTGGCCTGGTCCAGTGTAGAAGCGTTTCATCTCTATCGTACGTTGATCACTGTCTTCGCCAAGGAGGTCCGCTTCTACTTTGCAAAGTGCTGCATCGCTGGCTGGGGTGAGTGCCGTGGTGGTGGTGATTAAGAGTTATGCGATGTGTGTGTGTGTATGTGTGTGTGTGTGTGTGTGTGTGTGTGTGTGTGGTTGGGGGGGGGGGGTGCGTCCGTACATGTGTGTGTGTGTGTCTAGCTGTGTGTGTGTGTGTGTGTCTAGCTGTGTGTGTGTGTGTGTGTGTGTGTGTGTACGTGTGTGTACGTGTGTGTGTATGTGTGTGTGGGTACATGTGTCTGTGTGTGTGTGTACATGTGCATACATGCACGTGTGTGTGTGTGTGTGCGTGCGTGCGTGCGTGTGTGTGTGTGGATTCATATACTTTCTATTTGAAGTATACATACCTGTTAACCATGGACTGCTTCTGGCTAGATTAACTCTTGTGTAATCAATGGTGCTACAGTGCATTTCAAAACTATAGACGCGTAGGGTTTTTGAAATATTTCAAATTTGGCTGGAACTTTTTGAGAATAGTTTTCTGAATATTGCTCAGGATCGCTCCACAATTACTCTCATTATAGTTTCAAAAGAATTGGATAACAGACGCCCAATTTGGAAAAATTTATGCACAAAGTGATCACAGATTTTATGTGGTATAGTAGGCACTTCAGTCACGTGACAGGACCTGTCAAAATTTGCTAAGGTGAGAGTGCGTACTTGCGTGGCACCAGTCAAGTGCATGCGCAAAACTGTACAGGTACGCGCTATGCTTCGTTGTACGGGCTGATAGTTGGGCGCATCGTGTTGCTCTGACGTTCAGCTTTCAGTAGATCCCGCATACGTCATAGTGCGTACATTTTTGCGAGTTGTAGATCACGTACACTACCAGCAAAGAGTTTTTTCACAAAGAACTGTTGTTTGCTCGCGTTTGAAACGCTGCTTATCGTCTTCAGCGTCGTCTTTCCATTCGGAAACAGTAGAGTTCTTGTTTGCCAGGGCTTGCGCATCGCTGCGCAAGGAGACATTATGTACGTAGGCACTGAGAAGTATGCGCTTTAGGCGGAGGAGAACGACGATGCGTCGTCCTACCTGGGCGAATTCTCAAAGCGTACTGAAAGCCAAGTTTTGACACGGTTGCGCTGAAAGGCCTACTGATGTTTACGAACAATCAAAAGGCACAGTGGCTGCTGGAGAAACCCTCTGATGAGGGGATGCTTTGATATACGCAGCCAGGCACGCTTCACCAAAATTTCAAAGCTCACCAGGCAATTCATGACTGCTGCATGGAGCAGTTGAAGGAGAGGGAGGCAGATATCACACCAGGGAAAGAAGCTACCAACAGAGGTCCTGAGGAACTTCTTGCCAACTTGGAATCACTTGAGATGGCATGACTGTGGGCATGAATGTCCTGTGCAGTAATTCGCGCGCGCGCGCACTTTCCCTCCACGTTGCGGTGTACGGCGTACAACGAGGAAGTTCTCTGTTGTTTTTGTGCCAGAAGAATGTCTTTATAGCTCTTACGCTTTAGTACCCGCAGGAGCCTGCCAGTATGTCGTTATCAGTTCATTTCACAGCAAACTGAAGCTGTTACTATGAGTTACTATGGCGTTGCTATGGGTTGCTATGGAGTTGCTATAGTGATTGCGGTCACAATTGTCGTATTCTTGCCTATTCTGAACTTTGATCTGTATTGTTTCGATCCATACAGGGTTGTTGGTGTAAGTGAGTGATGTGTGCTTGAAAAAAACACTCTGATGTTTTGTGACTATATCCACTGATGATACTTCGGAGATGCTGTTGGTGCCACAAATTGTATTGATTTCGCCTTATGCAACTGCCTATCTTCAACCCTTCATATCTGAGTGGTATCACTGTGGATTTCAATGAAATTTTCTGTGTGACCTTGTGATACCCACCACCATCGATTACCGATGATAAACCTGGAAAAAACGCGATTTCAAAAAATGGGGTGAAGTGCCTAGGTATAGATGCTGGCATAACGGTTTTTGCTTAGGTACGCGTCTATAGTTTTGAAATGGACTGTAGTGATGCTTAGATCAGGTCCACTCTGATTTAGCCACCCACACTAGTAGCAAGTATTACCTTCACTGGGGGCAGGGGTAACTGCAGTTGGATCCCAGGACGGATACCCTGATGCCGTCAATCCTTTTTCTGCACCTTGTCCTCACCCACTTACTGAGTGAGGTGTGGTGAGCCCATAAGTGGGATCATTTTCAAGTCCACCCAGAGTTTTGGGATTTCAGGGGGTGTCGGCCGTTGGGCGGTTCAATAGCCAGTTGAGTCATCTTTCCAAGATTCCTTTTGAGTCTCTCTCCCCTCTCCCGGGGAGACCCACGTGACCAGTTTTGGCAGTGAGCAACAAGTACAAGTGTGTGTGTGTGTGTGTGTGTGTGTGTGTGTGTGTGTGTGTGTGTGTGTGTGTGTGTGTGTGTGTGTGTGTGTGTATGTGTGTATGTGTGTGTGCGTGCGTGTTCTGAAGATGCAATGGCTCCCATACGACGTACTGTGTTGATCGCACACCTCACAAACCTGCTGGCATCTTGTCCATCACCACAGCTCAGAAAGTCAGTTGCTTTCGTCTTGCCCTTCCTTGTGTGTTGCTTGTGTTTGCATAGGTCTGCCAGCGCTTATAGTGTTCATCAATCTTGCTGTCGGTGAATTTAAACTCGATAACTACGTGAACGCAGATGACAGCGGAAACCTTCCATCGGACTACCGGTAAGTTAATAGAAAGGGGGGGGGGGGCTCATGCAGTAAATTTAATATTGAATTTTTCGGCAGCTATCCAATTTCGGCTATATTCGGCTGACCGAAAACGCCGAAATTGAAACGCTGGTGAAATGTTTCAAATCGGCTTTTGGTGATGTACAGGTATTAACCCCGTGCTGAAAATGAATCGCTGGCGAAGTGTCGAAAAATTAAATTTTAAGAACTCAGATGGTGAGCCAAGGAAAAAGAATTGTAACATGAAAAAATGCGGGCACAAGTTATGCGATCGAGTCCACCGACGACTGTGCACGTCTGACTTCAAAATCTGGTTTAGTTGGTGGACTCGATCGCGCAACTTGGGCTCACATGTTACCATCTTACAATTAAATTTTAATCGTGAAATGCCGAAATTTGGTACATTTACAGTACTGTGCCAAACAGCGGTACTTCGTCACAGCCAGCCTGCAGTCATGACAACGCTGACTTTGGGATCCACTCGGATCCCGTGTTTGTATGAATCCATGCATGTTTAGGTTTCTGCCGTTCATAGCAGGGTGATACAGTCAACTGCGCTAATAACGACTGCGGATATAATGACAATTTGCGAATAACGACAGAACTTCAATGCCCAGAGCAAAGTCCCATCTAACTGTAATATATATATATATATTGAGACTTCGGGTATAAGGTCACTTCGCGAATAAGGACACTTTTCTGATGCCCCTGCCAAGTGTCGTTATACGCACAGTTGACTGTACATCCACCGTTGGTGACTGGACTGAGAGTACCTGCCAGGATACAGTGGTTTCACATCCTTGTCATGCAGCATGTCACTGCGCTTCTCTACATAGTGTACCGTAGTGACGCACGTTTAACCCTTTGAGGCCCATAGTACGGATATATCCGTACCAGTGTACAATGCATACTTTTCAAAGCGCAACCTGGCGTAACTCGGCTGTCCCTTGACCAAATCGGGCAATCGAAAGGGCTATCGACATTAGAATTGTCTCAGCTAACGGCTCGACAAAACCCGAAGGCAATCCGAGGTCGGGGAGCGGAGATACGAGACTCGAACTAAATTCGCTCAGCAGAGTCAACTCGAGCGAGTGCATTTTGAACTCGTTTTTAGGGGTTTTCCCTGACTCGCGGCCCACGCAGCTACAGATAGTTCACGTCATCGCAAAGGAATGTTTCTCAGCTCTCCAGTAAAAAAAATTGAGCGATCTCCGATGCAATTTGTTGAAATGGCAGAGAATTTGAGTTGGGCGCTCGCAATGCTGGCTTTGGAGCGCCGTATCGCGCTGCGGCGCTGGTTCTGTGGATCGAGTGATGGATTGCTGGCTATCGCTGTGTTCCTCTGGCCAAGAGCTTTCCAGAAAGCCCTAGATCACCAAAATCGGCCAAAGGACACCAAAGTTACGACCAGATAAGTAACTGGGCTCGCGTATGCAGTGCATTTCTTGAAATAATTGTGGGCCCCAAAGGGTTAAGCCCATGCGCTTGTAAGCGAGATTTTGCAATTGAATTTTTTTGAAGGTCAATTGGTCTCACAGAATATAACTTAGGCACATGCGCTTGCAATTGAGTTACCAGTATGGAATGTGGAAATTGCCCATTTAATCCTGTAAATTTGGTATCATGGTGGGGTCTGTGTGTCGCAGGATTAGGTTCACTTATTTATTTATTTTATTCCAAGGAATACATGGCTGGGGTAGCCAATGACCACTTTGCATAGCGATTGCACGGTTTTTATAGCCAACCACGGGTATTAGCCCATGCGACTATGTGTGAGGGTGCGGTTATGCCTGGATATAGGCACATGAGCTTTATGCGCGTCACGACGGATGCGTAGCATGTGGGTCAGTGGAACCAACATGGCCAACGTCATGTGACCCATACATGCAGGGATTGAGCGAGTGGAGTTGGAACCAACATGGCTGCCCTGTATGGTCATGTGATATATTTTGTTCCTTTGCTAAGGTGTTTCCTAACAACATTGCCTAACCGTAACCACTACTACTACCCGTTCATCCTGCCAATGTGCCTCTTCCTGGCCTTCAACGTTGCCGTGTTTGTGCGGCTGGTGTACGTGATCCGCAAGACGCAAACCAGCGACGGCAAAGGAATCAAGCACTGGCGGAGACAGGTAAGAGGAGTTTGGACTCTTGGTGCGTCCGGGTGCCGGGCCATGAAGTCGAGACCCCCGGTCGGCGGAGCTCCCTAAACCTCACAACCACTGCGTGTGTGCCTGTGAGTGTGTACGAATGACGTATGCATACATGTCATGAAGTAGAGTCACATTCATAGCTACAATCAAGAGTGGAAATATTACTACGCCAAACGGAACATGTGTACTTGACTAGCTGCTACTCATGTTTGGCATTTAAGTGGTCTTTGTAAAAGTACAAATACACGTGTTGTCTTGATGTTTCCCTCTACTTTACAAGAGCTGCAGACATATCTGTGGTGTTGTCTATACAGTCATATGACCAGACTCTCAGTCAAAGATGAACTTCAGTTAGAGAGTGTCATAACGGGCATACGGCTCTTTGTTACAGGTGCAGGAACCTACACTAACTTCTCCCGGGATTGGGTCAAAACTCGGTGTTGATGCACAGGACATCCGCGCTCCTTATCCCTCTCACTCGTTCCGTCTTCCGCTCCCTATCTCTCATTTTCCCCTACTCTTTATCTCTCTCCCTCTCTCTCTCTCTCTCTCTCTCTCTCTCTCTCCCTCTCTCTCTCTCTATCTCTCTCTCTCTCTCTCTCTCCCTCTCTCTCTCTCTACTTCTCTATCTATCCATCTCCTCTCAGCACCATCTCTTTCAGGACCGGCAAAAGCAGTTTTTGATTTGTCCGGCCATACCATAGGATTTCATACTTGGTGTGTGATCTAGTAGGTCACATGACCTGCTCGGCAGTAAGCACACCTTGGTAGCCAAACAGTTTGTCTGGCCATGGCCAGCGCCCTTGTCTTTCCCTCTCCCCCCCCCCCCCCCCCCCCATACCACTACATATAATATTCACCTGGTAGAATGTAAGTTCAAGACTGTTCTCACATCGCCCCCAAGCCGTACTCCTATTCTTGTGTTGTCACATGTACAGTTGCTGACGTCAATCAGCATTGCCACTCTAGTCGGTCTCAACTGGTTGCTGACTATCGGTCTGCTTGTCGACGCCGATGGCCATACAAACATTGTCAGTGTCTATATCTTCTCCATCGTCATGGTAAGAATGCCGGTTTTGTTGTGTTTGTTGTTGCTGCTGCTGCTGCTGCTGCTGTCATTGTCGTTGCTGTTGTTGTTTGTGTGTATTTAAGTTGTCACATTAATTAAACGGGAAGTGGGCGCAATAACAGACACGAATATCTTTTCTGATTTAGTCCCTCATCCGGCCATATTTGGCTTTCATTCATACGCATGCATCCAGACAGTCCAACCTCGTTGTCGTAGCAACTGATTTACTGTACAAGCTAGATCTCTGATCCCTGATCCCTCATCTCTGATCTCTGATCCCTGATCCCTGATCTCTGACCCATGATCCCTGATCCCTGATCCCTGGTCTCTGATCTCTGATCCCTGATCTCTGATCTCTGATCCCTGATCTCTGATCCCTGATCCCTGATCTCTGATCCCTGATCCCTGATCTCTGATCCCTGATCCCTGATCTCTGATCCCTGATCCCTGATCCCTGATCTCTGTTCCCTGATCTCTGATCCCTGATCCCTGATCCCTGATCTCTGATCCCTGATCCCTGATCCCAGATCCCTGATCTCTGATCCCTGATCCCTGATCCCTGATCCATGATCCCTGAGACTGATTTCGAGAGAAACCCGGGTCTGCGCGTGTCGATCTCACGCACTGAGTCCTGGCCGTGATGTTATTGACCACCGTCTCTCCGCCTCCCATCAAGTTGTTGCTTCCCCCAATGCTAATGTCTGTCTCCATCTTCGCCAAGTCTGTACTGTGAGTTCTGACGAAAGGATATTTACTATTAAATTTTGTGATGGTTGAATAGATGTTTGCAAGGAGGGGGGGTCTCTTTTGTAAAATGTGTACACAAATTGTTAGTCCAAACGAAGTGTTATTAGTGGTCGGATAATAGAGTAGTCTCGCATCTATTGTGTATTTTTCATGTCTTTTACTTTCTATGCTTGTTGATAATCTAGCCCGTTCGTTCTTCAGCGCCCAACAATACTGTATGTTAGACAAAGTTTAGTTTTAAATATCGGGAATATAGTGTACATTTGGAAAGGATTGGGAGAACTTCAAATTCAAGGGATCAGTCGGGGAAGTGAACTGCCTGAAAAGAGAAAAAACGCCAGACCCACCAGGACTCGAACCTGGGACCCTGCTTGTCATGAGCAATGCTCTAACCACTGAGCTATGGGACCAGGCTGAACCTAGAAGGCGCTGACAAGTTTTTCACTCCAAAGGCAGCTCACAACACGTGCCACACATACTGATGGCACTTGGGTCTTTTTCCCTCCCCCAAGGGACCCCTGGGGGAGGGAAAAAGACCCAAGTGCCATCAGTATGTGTGGCACGTGTTGTGAGCTGCCTTTGGAGTGAAAAACTTGTCAGCGCCTTCTAGGTTCAGCCTGGTCCCATAGCTCAGTGGTTAGAGCATTGCTCATGACAAGCAGGGTCCCAGGTTCGAGTCCTGGTGGGTCTGGCGGTTTTTTTCTCTTTTCAGGCAGTTCACTTCCCCGACTGATCCCTTGAATTTGAAGTTCTCCCAATCCTTTCCAAATTTAATCACTTTCTTTCACCTCTGGTAGTTTCCAGAAACTGACCGTGGTTGGTCCCCTGGGGGAGGGAAAAAGACCCAAGTGCCATCAGTATGTGTGGCACGTGTTGTGAGCTGCCTTTGGAGTGAAAAACTTGTCAGCGCCTTCTAGGTTCAGCCTGGTCTCATAGCTCAGTGGTTAGAGCATTGCTCATGACAAGCAGGGTCCCAGGTTCGAGTCCTGGTGGGTCTGGCGTTTTTTTCTCTTTTCAGGCAGTTCACTTCCCCGACTGATCCCTTGAATATAGTGTACTTTCGTATTAAAAAAATAAAAAAGTTCATAGGCAGTGTATGAAACCTGTGTCTCTTGTCTCTCTTGTCTCTATTGTCTCTCTTGTCTGTCAGGCGTTGTTCGGAGTGGTCATGTTCATCATCCACGTTCTGTTGAGAAAGGAGATCCGACAGGCATGGAGTCGACATCCTGTCTACACCGGCCTTAGAAGTCGACTCTCCACTGCTGGCTCTTTCCTCACACCGGCAACCTCCAAGGTACGCTCATGCTGTTGCTGCTTCTGCTGCTGCTGTTGCTGTTGCTGCTGCTCATGCTGTTGCTGCTGCTGCTGTTGCTGTTGCTGCTGCTCATGCTGCTCATGCTGTTGCTGCTCATGCTTCTGCTGCTGCTGCTGCTGCTGCTGCTGCTGCTGTCATCAATGCTACCTTTGTCCTTGCCGTATCAAATCTTTATTCTCACTCCGTTAAGAGATTATCGTTGTTCTTGATACGACGACAAGAACAACGATGATCTTTTTTTTGTTTTTGTTGTTGTCGGCGTCATTGGTGTCAAATTGCAGTTGTCGCCCTTGTCCTGCCTGTGTTGTACTTATATTTTGTATCTGTGCAACCAATCAGCAAAGCTGTCTTCTCTCAAGGAGACGACTTTGGTTGAGATGCAAATCTTAGATGCTGCACGCAGCTGCTCACAATCCATTCCGAAAAACACTTTGAGACTCAGGGGTCTGCTGCTAGTGAATGTCGTAAATAAATTGGCCATACGTGAGTTTGGGTCCACCGCTCTACGCAGTGTTCAACCTAGTGCGTGTCCAGATGTTGCGCAACCCGACTGCAAAAAAGTGTTTCCGTCACCGGTGACGCCTGCAACCCGAAATAGTCAAAGGAGGAAGTGTATTTTTCATTTTGAAGAGATTTTCGTCAAACATTGTGCCTAATATTATCATGGCTAACCCACTTTCATGAGCTATGGTTGAAACATCACGTTAACAACACAACATCCAGGCGTGTATCGGCACCTACTGTAAATCAACAAATATCCGGCGCATATTTATTTTCGGCTACTTTCGGCCTGGTTACCACGCAAAGTGGTCATTGGCTACCCCAGCCATGTATTGCTTGGAATAAAATAAAATAAATAAAATGTTTGGCCGAAAATTTGTTGCGGCCGAAAATTTGTTTTGCGAGGTTCAGTGTGAGGGTGTATACATGCGGCAGCAGTACAGGCCGAAAATTTGATGCGGCCGAAATGGGTTTTAGCCCTGGAAAGCCGAAATTTGAATGCGCCGAAAATTTGTCGACCTGCAGTATAGTCCATCCCTATTATTAAGATGACCTATGGCTCTAGTGAGCTCGTGTAATTGATGGTGTTTGGTGATAGTAACGTGCATTGTGCATTTGTACGCGTTTGTGCACGCCTACCGTATTCTCCGGAGTACAAACCGCACCCAGATTTTTGTCCCGACATACAGACATCTAACCCATTTACTACTAGTATTTTGATCATCGTAGCACAAGTCCTACCACCGACTTTGTTTGGATGAATCACTGGTGTTGAGTAAAGTGACACGGCTTATACCCCGGAACATACAGTATTAGTGCATGTGCGTAGTGTTCATGTGCACATAATAATTCGTGTGTGTGTGTGTGTGTGTGTGCGTCCGTGTGTGTGCACGTGTGTGTGTGTGTGTGTGCGTGTGTGTATGTTTGTGTGTGTGTGTGTGTGTGTGCACGTGTGTGTACGTGTGTGTGCACGTGTGCGTGTGTGTGTGTGTGTGTGTGTGTGTGTGCACGTGTGAGTGCATGTGTGTGTGTGTGCGTGTACGTGTGTGTGTGTATGTTTCCTACACAGGGCCGCGCCACCAGTACTTCCAGTAGCAACGGTGGTGCTAGCGGCAGCTCAAAGTCCGATGGAGACAAGTCGGGGGCAGACAGAAGCAGCGTCATCAACGCCAGCTCCCCTACGTCCGAGAAACCCAGCAAGGTCATGTGGATCGGCATGGACGAACGGGGCAACGCCAAAAGTCCCGACTCGACTACGGTGGCGGACAACGAAACCGACGACCACAAGCTCAACTACATGAACAGCGGCGCGAGACCTAGCGACGTCTCCAAGCCAGGTCTCCGTGGTAACAAGGAACCGCGGCGAGGCTCAGCACCGGGTGTTGTGGTTCGTGGTACGAGGTCACCACCCTCAACACTGCAAGTTCCCGGGGGCGACCGCGACAGTAGCAGCGGTGACGTTAGCCGTTTCTCTTCGACGGAGAAGCTAGTGTCCCCACACCGCTCCTCAACCAACATCCCGACGTAATAAACCCATTGCGCCATGACCTGAGTTGTACCACCAACCCCTCCCCCACACAGCCACTTGGGCATGGCTGTGTGGGGTGTTGAACAGCGCATTGCTGATCCCAGCGTACGCGCATGCATCACTCACACTTTCCGTAGGTGGCAATGCACGGTGGGTGTATGCATTGGGGACTGAACCACCTTGGGAAAGATTGATGCCAGCGTCTGCACTTGAGAGCCTTACGAGAACTTTGAGTAGCCAGCCATGCTACGTGTGAGCCACTGTGTAGCCTTGCGAGAACTTTGAGTAGCCAGCCATGCTAAGTGTGAGCCACTGTGTAGCTAGTTAGCAGAACAGCAGGTATCCTGCAGAGATGACATCACATAGGAAAATGCTCAGAGAGAGAGCGGCCATCCCTGCTACTGAGTACTATGACCTGTAGCAATCTATCTGGGCACTAAGCTCCGGTCAGTGCATCTATGCGGGTACCACATGAACCGTGACGTGTGCGATATGTGCCATGTTGCGGCTGCATGTCACATGTGGCGTACATTCGATTTATTCTCCAGCTCCTTCTTCATTATCATCACATGCATACGTACACTTTCTTCTTCTTTCAAACTCTCTCTCTCCGAGGCTCTCTATCTATCCAATCACCTATCTCTGTCTTTCTCTTCATATGTTCGTTGTAACCACGTGACCTCACGCACTTTCTCAGTTCTTCACCTTGATCAAATCAGCGTGCTGCATGTGCCGGCAAATGATACAACTATCACATGCCGCAATGATTTCTCTTCCGATACCGATGCTCTACTCGTCTGCATGAGGCCCTGAGATAAGCCTCGTCAGATAATGATCACAGTACCAGCGTGGTGCCGTTGTATGATTACTTCAGTGCGGTGTCATCACCAAGCCGACTTGAGTGCCGGTATAAACTAGGCATTGTTGTTGTTCCGACCCCGGACATGACGCCGTGGAGGACGGTTTCACCTAATAATCGGTTGTGTTTAACTTTGAGAATTGCCTTGCTGGCATAATTATGACATTTGAAGTTTTAATAACCACACCTAGTAACTGTCACCTGTCGCTAATGCCGCTGCAAAACGTTATTATGCCTTTGACACGAGTGATGATGATATATGTACTTCTTGCACTTTATACAATCCAGCAGCTTCATTGAATTGATGGTACTTTTACACGTAGTTTGTCAGTGATCACCGTGTTTGCAAGTTGTAACCTACCAGCTAGTACTGATAGGGTCACTGTCAATGACTTTCCCTCGAACCCTGGCGGCACCCTGTGGTATTCGGCATGATTTTTGTCATAATTATTATCATGGAGGCAACCCATTCCGCTTTCGCAATCCTTGTCGTGGCTTTCTGTTGCATTTTATGCTGTAAGCCCAGAAACGTTTGCGCCCGTTTTAGTTCGCGATTTGCGAGCACAGATAAATTTGTACCTGGAGATGTTCGCAATTGGAGTCAATTTCCTCGGTTTCTTTACTACAATTCTACATCTCGCGCCGGCTTACTTTCGCGATTTCACCGACCCATCGCGAAACCGCAAGGGATTCCCGGGACTACAAAGGTTTCTGGGCTTACAGTAGTCAACGTACACAAACCGCGGCATACACTGACACCATGCAATCAGCTGTGCTATCGGCCTGGCCCGAGAACAGTCCGCAGAACCTTCTTCAAGCTTCAAAGCCGCAGGGGCGATTTTTCAGATTTTAGTGTGTTGTAATTTTGTAAAGTGCTGCGGGAAGTACGGCACACTGAGCCGTGTGTATTCGGCGTTCAGTCATCCGGCATGCCGGTTATCCGACAGGCCGCTGCCCGTTACCTTACATTGAGTGGACTACAACCGGTCGGAAACGAAAAGAGTGCCAAAAGAAAGGTCATCATACGTACAGAACTGCTCAATGAAATCCAGTCGCGTCACTCAAGTGCACGCCGGGCGTTGCGCAGCCCTAGACCTGCGAACACTGGGCTGCGCTTGAAAGGGGCAAGGTGCAAACTAAGATTGACGCGACTGGATTTTCAGTGAGCAGGACTGTACGAGTACATCAAAGTACTGTACACGTCCATCATCATCACCATGGTTACACGATGTCATGTACATAATCGCGAAGGACTAAAGGGACCCTCACTTAATTTTTTGCCGACTACCCGCCAAAAAACACATTTCGACACGCGTGTGTGCTGCAGCTGGACGTCAGCCGCGTACGTGCACGACAAGACGTGTGAGCTGGCTGACAAGTGAGAGCCAGGGAGTCGTCAAGTACCGGCATTTGACGACTCCCGGCCTGGTGAGAGCATGCATGCATGTCCAGCTAGCTGGCGGGAAAGGGAACCTAAAATTGAATGTAGATCGATGGGTTGAATGTGAAATTGTGGATCTACATGAGGTTTGTTTTGATGTTCTGATACTTGTTGTAAAGGCTAGTGATCTTGCAAACGTTACTGTGACTTTTCCAAGTCCTACTGATATACCTTGTCAAATCAGATGCCCTGTAGTAGTCTTGGTGGAGGCAGACTGGAATGCGTTGAATTCGTAGCTTCTGAAATTGAAATTTATTTTTTCTGGAGTGGCACTGACAAGCGATGGCATTGGCGACAGGAGAACTTTGCTTCCTTCCAGGAGAGCTGCATCGCAGTCGGATCCTGTCCATGCACATGCGATCATGCTGTGTTGTAGACAGTGGAGAGCTGATTTTGACCCGAGAAAATAGTTTTGAACATTCATGAAGAGGATATTGTTGCTGTAGCTAGCTGACAGACATAGCCTGTGGCAGTGGTGTATGAAATCAGCTTGCAAGGTCTGTAGCAACTTGATCATGGCAGAGAACGAGCTGAAGCGAGATGTGAAGGGTGCCATGCAGCTTACACTTGTGCATGTTCTACGTTACTCTACGGCGAGGAACTACACACGCACTCACTACTGCTCTCGCAAGGTGATTGGCTTCTCTCCAGTGATTCAGGCCGCCGCAAAGCATGGATCCACTGCACTTTGTTGCGGAACACATCAACATGCCTGTTGACGTACACTGGAAAAGATATGACTCCACGATGAGGACCTGTGTAGCAACTTGATCATGGCAGAGAAGGAGCTGAAGCAACTTCCATTGGCGCATGCTTTTTTTGTTTTAACGGTACTCCACGATGAGGAACAGCACTCGCTACTGCTCTTGCCAGGTGATTTGCTTCTCTCCCGTGATACAGGCTGCCTCAATGCATGACTTATCTGCACATCAATACGCCTGACGTAGATATAACTGGAAAAAGGTGTCACTCCTCGATGAGGAGCACACATCACTCGTGAAGGCTTGTACAGAGTGAGGGGCTTCTCCCCAGTGATGCAGGCTACCTTGAAGCATGATGAGCTACGTGAAAAATACCGCGCGGTGTGTTGAAGCGAGGCATGGAGCATGCCATTCAGCTTGGAACTGCACGTGGCATTTGATAGGGCTTGTGCATCTCTCTCTCTCTCTCTCTCTCTCCAAATTCTTTGGTAATGCAGCCTTTCACCAACATTGTCCGGTTGCACGCCTACTGTCACTCAAACAGGACCAATGGATGCAACATGTGCCTAGCAGATACACTGTTGATCATGAACAACTCCAATAACACCCCCCCCCCCCCCCCCCCCTTACCATTGTCTTCAATACACATCCAACTAGAACTTGAAGTATATTAGTCGAAGTTGCTGGTATAGTCTCTACTTCTTGATGCTACCCACTCTCTTTTTCTGTCTGTCTTTCTCTTTCTGTGTATGTATGTGTGTGGGTGTGTGCGTCTCTCTCTCTCTCTCTCTCTCTCTCTCTCTCTCTCTCTCTCTCTCTCTCTCTCTCTCTCACACACACACACACCCACACACACACACACACACACACTCACTCACTCACTCACAAAGCATGGATCCACTGCACTTTGTCGTTGAACATCTCAACACGCATGTTGACGTACACTCTCTCTCTCTCTCTCTCTCTCTCTCTCTCTCTCTCTCTCTCTCTCTCTCTCTCTCTCTCTCTCTCTCTCTCTCTCTCTCTCTCTCTCTCTCTCTCTCACACACACACACACACAGTGACACACACACTCACAAAGCATGGATCCACTGCACTTTGTTGTTGAACATCTCAACACGCATGTTGACATACACTGTATCTCTCTGCGTCTTTTGATTTCTGTGTCGCTCTTTCTCTTTTTCTTATTGATCGCGTATTGATAAAGCTCGGCACGAAGTATTGGCTCGCTTTATCACATACTTGTACTTACTCTCTTTTTCTGCCTGTCTCTCTATCTCTCTTTCTGTGTGTGTGTGTCTCTCACTCTCTGTTGACGTACACTGTATCTCTCTTTGTTTATCTCTGTCTCTCTTTGTCTGTCAGTTTCTCTCTCTCTCTCTAACACACACAAGCTCTTTCTCTCTTTCAGTTTCTCTTCTTTTGTTGCTTTCTCATGAACACTAGCACACACACACTCTCTCAACATTGATCACTTATTCCCATCATGCTTTTTTGGGTTTCGTTGTGATAGAATATTGTCCTACTACTGATGTACAACACTATTCTCATGCAACTGGAGGGTATATATTCGGGTGCTATTTGTTGTTGTGGCTAAGAGTGCATGTGTGCGGCCAGCTAGTTCCAGCATGCAAGGTGTTACATTTGCTACACTGTGGTCTTACAAGCACAGAGAACCATTATGTTCTAACTAACTTTCCTTGATACAACTATGAACCGAAGCACAACTGCTGCAAACATTAACTGCCCATTTAGGCAAGATAGCAACAACTAAAAGTAGAAGAAGTAAGTAAGACTAGCGTCCTTCCAGCTCCAGGACAGTATGAACAGGCAACAACATAAATTTTAACAGCATTGCATCGTACATGCATGTAGCCATGCAGAAATAATTGTACATTTAGTTGTGAATGCAAATCCAAGGCGGAAAGCAGTCAGGCGTAATAGATGCCAGCAATAGAAACCAGATCTGTGACGCATGTCACATGCATTCATGATGATCAATGCATCGTGGTTCACCACCATTGAACACAGTAGTACATGTAAATTACACAGAAATATGAGATTAAATCTAACATATCTCCCTCGTGAAAGAAAAGTGATAAATATCACATGAGTGAGTAAAAGACGAAGACAACAAGAAGAAAAACATGACAAAAACAATGGCAATTGAATATGAAAAATTGAATATGAAAACTCGGATGGAAGAAAAGGACCAAGGACCTACAAGACGTGCTAGAGCTGATAGCCAGTTTGTTGTAGAACGTCAGTACTGTCGGTCAGTTTGGTGCAATGTTATAATTATTGCTATTGCATGAGCTGATTGTCAAGTAACTGGTGGTGTTAGTGGACAGTATAGCATAACTTGTAGTTCTTTGGTCTTTTTTTCTTTACTATGAATATGAAAACAATCACAGTTCGCTCAGTACTTGCGCCTTTAACTTCCAGTGGCTCAAGATGATGAACTGCATGCTTGTATACCTTCCCAGCTACTTAAACTTCTACTATCCGAACAGCACCATCCTTACCTGGATAGGTCATAAGCACACGTCCAAGTGGCTAGTGTGCAGTTGCGGTGTGCTTATCCATCACAAGCACGATATCTCCTTAGGGTGATGCTGTTGAAGCAACCACATCACTTGGATGCTTAGCTTCGGAACAATCTCTTTCAGCTAACGTTTCCATACCTGATCTACAATACGTTGCACAAACTCCCAGCGCTTTCTTGGGTGAGCTTGAGTCATTGTAGATGTGTTGGCTTCAGCAGCAACAGTTGCCCTAGCATGGCCAATGAGAAAGTGTTGTGGCAATAGCAGCTGAAGGTCTTCATGCAGCACTAGTTTCATTGCCTTGGCCATTACCTAGAACACACCACCAAAGTGTGGTGCACTTGGTGGCTTGAAGTACCAGGTAATGTCGCGGTATGACCTTTCTGCTGCTAGTCTGAAGTTGTCGAGAAACTTGACAGCTGCTTTTACCTCTTGATCAGCCACACGGAAATTGGTACCGTTGTCCGATTGCATCTCTTGTGGCACACCGCGTCGCATGGTGAATCGGGGTCTAAGAGCCAGGAGAAAACCGTCGTTGTCCAGAGCCATGATCAAGTTGCTACACAGCTCGTTCTCTGCCATGATCAAGTTGCTACAGACCTTGCACGCTGATTCCATACACCACTGCCACAGGCTATGTCTGTCAGCTAGCTACAGCAACAATATCCTCTTCATGAATGTTCAAAACTATTTTCTCGGGTGAAAATCAGCTCTCCACTGTCTACAACACAGCATGATCGCATGTGCATGGACAGGATCCGACTGCGATGCAGCTCTCCTGGAAGGAAGCAAAGTTCTCCTGTCGCCAATGCCATCGCTTGTCAGTGTCACTCAAGAAAAAATAAATTTCAATTTCAGAAGCTACGAATTCAACGCATTCCAGTCTGCTTCCACCAAGACTACTACAGGGCATCTGATTTGACAAGGTATATCAGTAGGACTTGGAAAAGTCACAGTAACAGTTAACAGTTTGCAAGATCACTAGCCATTACAACAAGTATCAGAACATCAAAACAAACCTCGTGTAGATCCACAATTTCACATTCAACCCATCGATCTACAAAATAGGTTCCCTTTCCCGCCAGCTAGCTGGACATGCATGCATGCATGCATGCTCTCACCAGGCCGGGAGTCGTCAAACGCCGGTACTTGACGACTCCCTGGCTCTCACTTGTCAGCCAGCTCACACGTCTTGTCGTGCACGCGCAGACGTCCAGCACACACGCGTGTCGAAATGTGTTTTTTGGCGGGTAGTCGGCAAAAAATTAAGTGAGGGTCCCTTTAGTCCTTCGCTACATAATCAAGAGTACATAACCCCCCCGGAGTGGGCAACGCCGATCCAGCTCTGCATAGGGTCTTGAGACTCTTGACTCTTGGTCGAGCGGAATCGGATCTTCTGATGTCATGCGTACACTCCACACAAGCGCAAGGCCGGTCTCGAGGCAGGGCACCATTGTTTTTGATCCGAGAGTACCCGCGACTCCCCGGGTTCCCCTCAGATGTGTACGGTATTGATCCGATTCCGCTCGACCAAGACCCTGCTATGCAGAGCTGGATCAGGCGTTGCACACTCTGGGGGGGGGGGGGGGGGTTATGTACTCTTGTACACTCCAGTGCGGCCATGATTAATTTGACCGTGGCATTGCATTCTTTTTGATGTGTGGATAGACCCCCGGCCCCCGCCCCCCCCCCAGCATGGCCGTCCCGAGGCTGAAGCGAGTCGTACTCTGTCAAGTGGTCACTCAGCGTATCGATTCGCAGAGCTAGCGAGGGTGTACGTGTGTTTCCTGTAAATGTGACAATGCATGACGTCACAGTATTTTCTAATAATCATATTAATTGTGTGACGTCGAATGCCCGTTTCCATGGGCACCGGGTCGACGCCTTGCGCGTGAAAAATAATTTCCCTGTGTTTTTTGTATTTTTACCAGGGAGTAGTAAAATACATACAGGGAGGTGACACGCCACTCACTAATCGTGATTTTTGATGGGTGCCTCGCGCTTGTTTTTTTTTCTTTCGCAAAAAAGATGATCTGCTGAATCAATCTTGAGTATTTATTGAAGAACTAATTCCGTGAAAAGGTCTATCCATCTCATGGAACAGCATTTGTTTTGCTCTTGTGATACATCTGTGTCATCGTCATATGGAAAGGTACCACCCTTCCGAAATTCGTCCCGATCGACGGCATGGAGCAATAGAACGAAGGTGATTTCCTTGAGAACAATACGTGTACGATTGGAGATGAAAAGCGAGTGCACCGATTTCGAAGTCGAAAAAATCTCTAGGACACCACATGATCGGCACTAATTTCTCCTCAGTTGTGATCAACCAGTACTTCTCTACCTTCTTTGTGATGATGAGCATTTCATATTATGGTATGCTAGAGATTCGGGAGTTCACTTTTCGGAATGAAAGTTTGTCAAGGATTGAAATGCGGGCTACGTCGTCGTAAACAGCTTGTATCGATACAGGAAAAATCTACGGCACGCAGGGATATCTCCCAAAGTGATACCACTCTTGCTGGACTTCTATCCTGACATAGTGGTAGTTTGGTCGACTACCAAACTTTGTGAAGGCAGACAATTGTTGGAAATTCTCAGCGCTGAGTTTCTAAGCCTAGGGCTGCAGTATGAGTCCCTTTGGCGGTAGGTATTTTACTACTCCCTGATCAAGAGAATCCTGATCCGCGCTGTGTCTACACACTTCGGTACCCATAGTACCCCAATCTCACCCGCCGGGTGAAAACGGTGCTGAGGCAATCGTCAAACTGGCCGTACATGCTCGTGTCACCTCCCTGTATTTTACTACTCCCTGATTTTTACTGAGCAAAATGTTATCAGATTCAGTTTTGCATTTATTTTTTTTAATATTTGGAGCATTTTCAATATTATTAATTTTGTGATTTCGAGTTGAGTAACCTGCATAGCCTCCTTCCAATCCTCACAGTTTGTTTTCGTGGGCAGCCTTCTCTGAAGCAAGCTGTGTGCAATGAAACGAAAGCGTGAAGTCCACGACGATGAAGCAGAGGAGAACAGCGAACCCAGCGAGGAAGCAGCGAGAAAAAAGAAAGTGAAGAAATCCAAGAAATCTGCCCGAAAGGAAAACGATAACGCTGCTGAGGATGCAGGCCGCGGGAACGAAAGCGAGCAGACAGACCAGCCTGATGACGAGGCGGCTGGCACGGTGACCTCCCCTGCGCAAGGCGATTCCACAAAGGCGCCGGAGTCCAAGAGTCCTGGCAGAGAGAAAAAGGGACCTGTGAACGACCCTGATCGATTGTGGAAACGGGAGAAGACTGATCACCATGAGTACGTACAACTCAAACAAGCAGCAGATGCTGCCGGCAGCGGCAGAAAGAAGAATCAGGGCAGCGCTGCCCAGATGGCGGTGGAGTATCTTCGGCAGTGGCAGGAAGACAAGAAGAATTGGTCGTTCCGTAAAGTGCGACAAGTTTGGCTCCTGCAACACATGTATGACAAGAATAAGGTAAGAGTCTTAGTCTTAGGGTGCAGTCACTCCAAAGGCAGCCCAGCTGTTCGGAGGCAAAGAAAGCGCTTGGGTGTCCAAGTGTTGAAATTCAGGCTCTCGGCCACTTTCAGTTGTTAGCAGGGCCGCCGGACGCAGTTGTTGATTGGTCCGGCAGTGGCTTAGCCTTTCATACGTTGTGTATGATATCATGGCGGGTCAACATGCCCTACACAGCTGTAAGTACGTGTTGTGGCCAAAAAAACTGGTCCAGTGATAACCTGACCAACCGGACCGGTTCCGGCGGGCCTGGCTGGCAATCCCAGATGTTGAATGCATTGATTTTAGGCTGCTGTCCAGTGGTTACAGCAGGCCCGGCGGAACCGGTCTGGTTGGCCAGGCCATGGCCGGACCTACTGTTTGGCCAGCGACATGTGTTTACTGCTGAGGAGGTCATGTGTGTACCCTCCATATCATACACAAACTGTATGAACGGCTAGGGTGTGGTCGGACAAATCAAAAACTCCGTCCACTGGTCCTGTACAAGTACAGTGCTCGTCAATGAAGTCCGAGCGCACGAGTCAGAGTTGCGCCCTGCGACAGTTCACAGCCCAATGCTCACAGCCCAATGCTCACAGCCCAGCGTTCAGTCTTGCTTTGATGATGGTGTGCTGTGGCAGCGTGTTGCGGTCGAGCGGCGAGCACTTTTGGTGGTGTGGTGGTTGAAGTGGAATAGGAAACGAAGTGGTTTGTGGTTTGTTGTTGTATTCTTTTATTTTGCTTCATTATAGGCACAGGCAATGCTAATGCTGCCTTCTCGTCGAAGGGTGAAACCTCCGATTCCTGCCAAAACGGGAAAAAATGGAGCTTGGCGTGCATTCGTATTAAAACTCCCTTCTTTCCTGTGCGTGCGTGTGTGTGTGTGCGTGTGTGTGTGTGTGTGTGTGTTTTGATCATAGGTGAGCAAGTCGAACTTCAAGATCCTGGTTGACTATCTGTCGGGACTTAAGGGCGCGTCTCGACATGTCACCCTGGAGCAGTCTAGGAAAATCATCGAAGGAGAAGAGGACGAAAGTGACGAGGCGGTTGACGACGACGAGACTAAAGGCGATATGTCTCAGGCGGCCGCTGTGGATCCGGATGCTGACGGTGACGGTGAGGATGAAGAGAAAGAGAATAAGGAAGATGACGGAGCGGAGGAAGGCGAGAAAGTCAGTGAGGAGCAGAGACGTGCGGAACGCGAAGCAGAGCGCGAGAGAAAAGGTGAGTGACGGTTTTGTAGTTGGATGTCGAAAGTGCTACGCTCTGCTCACGAGAAAACGTGTTCTTGTAGTTGCGGAGCGTTGAGTCACAAATCACTTCGTGTCTGCCTTTGAAGTGAAATCCAGTCGACACCAAAAGTCTCGGTCCGCCCTGAATTGGATGTATTATGTGCATCAAACTTTAGTGGCGTCAAAGCCAACGAAGTCTTGCGAAATTTCAAACTGCCACACACGTCTCCGTTACTCATCCATCAGCTCCGTGACGTGTACCGTATTTTTTCCCCGGATATAGGTTGCACCGTTTTTGTGCTAAACTCCAAGGGCAACAAAGAAGGTGGTGCGACTTACAATCGAGTATGGCTTCCTAGTCATGTGAATGAATTGAAATACTATAGGGCTAATCTGAAAATGGGTGTGTGACTTACTCAAGTATGATCGAGTGCGACTTATTTTTGAGGAAATGCGGTAAGCTGTCCAGTGCGAAAATAGCGTTTGGCTTCACGTTCTTCCGTACGGCTGTTTGTTCAGAACTAGGCCTGTTCAAAACAGTCTGACAGTTCCCTGTATTGTGTGGTCTACTGCTAGAATAAATAGTGGATGTTGAATCTCGAACCTGGCAAGCCATTCAATGTTTCCTTCATGCTACAAATCATACTTCAGTGTGTGGCATGATTCCCTTCCGTTGCCTTTTGTGATGACCTGTGTGGCGAGGTGTTAATTGTGTTTGTCTGTGTTTGTGTGTGTTGGTGTGCACGCGTGTGTGTGTGTGTTTGCGTGCGCGCGTGTGTGTGTATGTGCATGCGCGTGCGTGCATTTATGTTGTCTCGATTTAGCTGCGGAGCGCGTGAAGCGGCGGCACATCCGTGAGAAGCGTGCCAAGCAGATCCTGAGAGAACTTTCCTGAGTTCTCCGGCGGTCCCTCAGTAACACTGTGCTGCTGGTGGTGGTGGTGAGGGATTACTGATGGTGGTGAGGGATTACTGATGGTGGCGAGGGATTACTGATGGTGGCGAGGGATTACTGATGGTGGTCGATGTACACTGGCATTATGTACTAGTACCCCCATTGCCCAACAGCGCCCCCTAGTCGGCTCTCCCACCAGGGAATGATGCCTTTATCTAAAGCCTGTAGTACTGATTGAGAGCAAGTATCAGCGTGGACCCCGTTACACCCAGCACCAGTACAGACATCATCAACTGAGTAACGGCGAGCTATGCTGTTTTGTGGGCCACCGCCCAGGATGTCAACTGGACGCCGCGACATTGGCGTTCCTCGAAGTGTCCCTCACCTCGGACACCACGGCATTGACGTTCCTCGAAGTGTCGCTCGCCTTGCTGGATCGTCACACCTCTGCAACGCCCTGTCATCGGTCGTCGTGCGTTGGCCTGGCTGGATTTTTGGTGGCAAGTCACAGGCTGACAATATGCAGGGCAACAGCTGTCCCTAGTGCGGGTGTGCAGTGAGTACTTCTGGTGATACACGTGCAAGCATCGACCGAGTAAGTGTCGGCAGCGCTATTGTTGCGTGCACAGCGCGCTCATGTGATGGGATGGGTAGTGACAGACTGGAGCATGCCTTGACGCGCACATAAACAGCTGACGCTCACTGCACGGTATCGCCATTGATACCGCAAGTATGCACTGGATATCTGCTGGCATGCAGTCAATGCTAGGAACTCACGTACACGCATGAATGAAGCTTGCTGAATATTTGTGTGTGCGGTGATGTTTATTGCACAGTTACTGGGGAACAAATTTATCTCCTCCTGCTTTTTTTAATTATCATTTGCGCTCTAGCTGCTGCTGGGGCTCCAATGATGTTTGGTTTGCTTGGCATGGCTTTAAGTGTAAAGTTAGTTGTGTGCAGCCGCATTGGGCTTGCGACATGTGCAGCTTGTCACTCGCCAACACTCTGGCGCCATAGCGTCTGCTGCTGCTGCTGGCGTGCGGTCGGGGGCTTCTCTCTGGCGGTGATTCCTGCCGGCGTCGCTCCTGCATATTCGTTTGTGCTGGCAGGTGCACTGTGTAGTCGTCATTGTCTTGACAGCTGTTGCGTTCCATGCCGTGTCTGAGGGTGTGTTTGGTGTTTCTGCGGTTCTCGTCTGCTGTATTCTGCTAGCCACCTTGGCTTGAGTTGGGTGATGTTCACGCAGAGTGAGAAGGAGGGAGAGAGTATAGAGATCATTGCGCTTGTGTCCGCGCACACCGTATTTACTTTTTATTTTCTTTCTCTCTTTTTTTTGTCGTGCAAGCTCATTCTCAGCAGCTTATCAGCGCTCTGCTACAGCCCGCATAATTATGCAGGCAGGCAGTGCTCACTGCATGCAGTCGCCATGTTTTTATCTTGCTCTTGAGCTCTGTGCCCAGTTCTGGTCAGTGATGGCTTCTAATTAGTTTTTGGCGCTCGTGACGTGTTTTTGCTGTTGTGAGGATTTCTTGACCGCCGCGTGTGCTCGAGCTGAAGATTTGAATATTTTCATTTATTTTTGTCTGGAGTGTTTTGTTTACAAAATATGTGCCAGCTAAAAATAAAGTGTGGGTTTATGGAGTGTGCGTGCATTCACTTTGCACAGTATGGTAGGCTCTCCGGTCGAAACTATGCCATGACCCTGGGTGATAGTGGGTGCTTTGGCATTTGCAAAGCAAACTGGCCAAGTTGGCGTTCACCAGGGACTTATGACTGTGAAGTAAAGTAACGTACACGTGTAACTCCCTTATGCGGGCGGTCCAGGACCGGACACTGCCCGTAACTTAACTTTGAAATGTCCGTATTACTCCAAATCACATACATTTTGAAGGGACAAGGCCATAGGCATGTCGTGTTACGTCACTATTTCCACAAAAGTGACAAAAGAGCACTTATAGTAGTAATATTTCCAATTTTCCACTAAAACTTGCCAAAAAGGTGCCCAGTGGACCGAAGTAAGGCATAACTGTTGGGTCCGGATAACCGAGGTATGAGTGTGCTGTACTAGTGTGCAATTCCCTGCCTAATAATATTATGACTGTGTGTGTTCTTATGCTTGGCGGTGAAACGTGCAGCACTCGCATACTGCTACATACATGTACAATCATGTATACTGTAATAATAAATTAATAATACAGCACGCATATACATGTAGCTCATATGAAAAATCAAATGAGGGTCATGCATCTATCGACAACGTCGAGCCAGTGCGTTCTGTCTGAGGCAAGTTGCTCGCTTCCAAAAGAGACATATTGAGTGTTGTGCGTAGGTTTCGTGGAAGCAAGTCTTCAGTGTACAATCATCTGCTAGCTAGTCCTGATTGTTGCAATTCGTATTCCGACTCTTCGTTCACTGTATTGTGCCGTGGTCGTCATGGTTATGGACTACAGTTAAAAGTGTTGGAAGCTATCTATCAGCGTCTGTATAAGCCTAATTTGTGTGTACGGAAAGATAGTATAATTGGGTTGAAATTGTTCAAGTAACGTGTCGTGTTTAGTGCGACCAAGCTTGGCCGTTAATGTTCTAGGTGTAATGTACTGCTGTTATGTGTTATCACGTTGTCTTTCCTTCCTTTCTCCTTTGTTCATTTCTCGCTTTGATTGTTAAAATTCACACTTGTAAATTTCACTGCTGTTGCTCTATGGGTTATTTCTCTAACTTAGATTTTCTATAATAGTTCAATTGAGAAAGCAATTATTATTATGATCAAGTTCCTAGAATTCAATACACCACACCACCACATTGCGCTCTTGGCCGAATTGACTGGTTTACGTGAACAAAAGGTAAAGATTATCAACGCTCAATAGCAACAGCATTGTGTCGGTTTCGGTGTAACGATTTCTATTTTAACGACAGATTTCTCCTCGTTAACTCGTTAGCAGTTCGTTATGGGCTTTTACAGTAAACAGTTATCTAGATCCTCACCTCAGGCTGCGTACAGTGCTCAATGTCCAGTGGACAGAGCCAGTAATACAAATATTACACAGGAATGGAGCAAAGAAATCTTTTTTTTAACCCATTGGTATGTACATGTAACATCTTTTTCCTCTTACAATCACACTGATTTTTTCAACGGTCACCTTCTTTTCCTCGCGCTATTGAAATGTTGTACCTCCATCACCTCTGCCCTCTTTTCTCAAGACCCTCCGTTATTCTAGTGATTGTTAGTCTTGGTCATTATTATGCTGTCTGATGAACGTTTCACACGAAAATCCGAGTAACAGCGGAAAAAAGTTTTGTTTGCTTCATTGCTGTGTTTTCAGTTTGTACATGTTTGTAGTATTGGCTTTTGCAGTATGTAGACTGTACATGTATTCAGGAGGGGTGGGCGGATTCTGCTCGAAAAGGTGGCAGATTCTGCTCGAAAAGCAGTGAAATTGGCAGAACCATACAAACCTTATGGCGGGCAATTCCTCGAATTCTGCTCCATTTCTTTATCCACATACCAAACATGCATGAAACGTACCAGAAAAAGTACCGAATTCTGCCAATTTTTCTGCTGGCATTATCCGCATATGCCTAGTATTCAGTCATGGAATATTGGGACCCCAAAGTAACAAGTAGTTGAAACTGCTACTAGCCAAGACCAGAAAAGGCAAGAGGGCCAAATGTACCTGGCAATAATTATGTACAATCATCTGAGAAGTAAGTTACCGTACTGGCAATATATGTTGCCGCGTAACGCGTAATGCAGGGGGGTGCGGCGTAACGCGCGACCAGGCTAGTGCGACAAATTTTCGTTGAGTTCGTAACGCGCGTCCGGCGGGGTGCGGCGATCTTTTCACTCAAAATGATGCAGCAAAAGCAAAAAAATGATGCGGCAATAGCAAAAAAGTGATGCGGCAATAGCAAAAAAAGGACTGCGGCAATATAGAAACCTGTGTAACGGCTCCTGTGCGACTTTGCATGTAACGCCCTCGCATATGCGTGCGGCAACATGTGCCAATGTAACGCTTCATGGCCTCACTGCGGCAACATAATATTGCCAGTACGGTAGTAGTTAGTTACGTGACCATGGTGACAGTCATTGTGGATAGCTACCAAGGCCTCCGCCGCCGCCGCCGGCAAGGCTAGGCGCCTAGTGCCTACACCGTCCGCGGTACACAGTATTGTAACACAGTCAGTGCAGCTCCATACAGACAAGTGACGTCTGCCCCGATCAAGACGACCGGCGGTGACCACAGTGTGCACGATAATACTTTTTGTCTGTTGCTGCAATAATTATAATAATTGTTGCCGTTGTTGTGGCAGAGGTAGATTTGAGTTTGTATTGACTGTGAAATTGTTGTCACATTGCGAGATCTTGAAGTTGAGTGTGGAATCCACCACTTTTTCTTCGCCGCTGAAAACCATCACCAGACACCAGTTCAAGACGTACAATGTCATGTACTGGATAGGACTAACACTAAGGGTAGTTGAATGATTGTACGTGTTTCTTTGTGAGCTATTCAGCGTCATGGCAAGCAAAGAGAACAGCAGTCATAATGAATATGTAGCAAAGTGCTCGAGTCAGGATAGCGGTGAATCCGCAGCCAACGAGTCTGCCAGCACACAAGCAAGTCTTGCCACTGGTCGAGCAGATCAGGTAAGAAACATACCCGAGGCAGTGTGCAGGTTGAGAGATTTGCTAGTTCAGGAGTATGTAAGCGCTACGGTAGATATGGGAGAAGGCATGGTCGAGGAAGGGCTCAACGAACCCAGCGTTTCAGACGTGCAAGTAAGACTGATCATTTTGTCGAGACCCGAGCTCCGAGATCATTTCAGCGAGACGAGTTTTGACTCGATAGGTGATGTGTGGCGTGTGGAACATGTTTTCACACAGGCAGCCAGTAGCTTGGAAAATATCTCGCTAGAAAGTCTCTTCGATCTTGATAAAGAGCAGATGCTGGAGTTCTCTAGCGGTGGTCGAACCTATCGCATATTGGTCGTAGCCAGTGCTGGCTGCGGCAAAACATTCGCCTTGACGAAAGTGGCTCCATTGAAATGGGCCCGGAATGAAGTGTGGACGTCGTTTGACTTGGTGGTAGCGCGAAAGCTGCGACACGAGGAAGTGAGAAAAGCAACGAATATATGCTCTCTGCTTGGTGTGGAAGAGCTGGGAGAGTTTACGAGCGACGAGCGCAAGAGCATCGATGGCTTTGTACGCCAGCAAGCGCAGCGAATGTGCTTAATATTAGATGGGCTTGATGAGATCCGCCTAAGTGAGTGTAGTGGCTTTGTTCGTGACATCATCAACGGGTCTAAAGTGAAGGGACTTCGTCTGGTAGTGACGTCACGGCCGTGCGTTGAGCTACTGAGCCTGTGTGATCAAAAGCAGTTTGATCGCCGTGTGGAACTTGTGGGTTTCCGGCCGGAGGATGTAGAGGAGTACATCGGAAAGGTGCTGAGATCAGCGGAAGAAGCATCGGCACTGGTAACGGCAGTACAGCGTGACCAGAACCTTGCTAGTGTGATGGCTACACCATTCCTGGCAATGCAGACGTGCAAGATCTTCCACTGTCGTAAGCGCACTCTGCCCCATTGTCTCTCGGATATCTTTGAGATGATGACCATCCAAGTAGCAGAGCGTCACACCGGTGAGTCGTACAAGAATTGGAATGCGATCCCCGCTCGTGTACGGTCCCTCATCCTGGATCTCGGAAAGTTCTCTTTCAGCATGCTGAAGAAGCAGCAGCTGATATTCACTGATGCTGACCTGGAGGCACGTTCGATTGCCAGGGAAGCAAAGTCACTGGGCCTTCTTGTACTGGCCGACAACAGCAGCAGGGATAAAAACCGGTTATGGATGTTCAGCCATCTGACATTACAAGAGTCTCTGGCTGCTCGCTACGTGGCTGTACACAAGACAACAACATTGGCAAATGTTGTTCGCCTGGTTGAGTCACTGGGACCCGAAACCAGCCACTTACGCACGTTCTGGATGCTGCTGACAGCTCAGCTGGACGCAGAGAAGGCTGACTGCTTGATCAACGGTCTACTTACGCGGGAAAAGTCAGAAGAGAGAGACGGGCGAAATTGCGATGGTGACAGTGAAGGTTTGACCGACACAGTGGCACTGGAAACGTTCCCACTGGATATGCTTGAGCCTCTCAGCGCAGGATTGGACCAATTCGAAATACATCGCTTATCGGAAGAGTTGCTATCCGACCAAATCGATGGGCGAAGCGGGGAACAGTACGTCGAGAATCGCAGCAAATACGGTCGATCGTCTAGCGGTGAGCAATTCCTTAGTACAATGTTGCTGGCTTGGGTGGAACGCTGCCCGGACGCAACACCTGCTACACTGGCTACTGCTCTCCGACGCATGGGTAAAGAGGTACTCGCACAGTCTCTTACTGCTAACAAGCCAGATAAGCCACTGCTACAGAACAGTCCCTTTCACAACGCTATTACAAGAGACCATAGCGGAAACTTGAAGCTCGCCTTGCTGTGCCACGCTGAATATTCTCATCACCATGGCAACGACACCCACCCCATGTCCAGTATTGCTGCTGCATTGCAGTGCATGGATGTACAGATCAGTGGCGACTA